GAAGACACTGGGGGGCAAAAAGTCCTCACCCGATGCTTGGTGTTTGATGAACGGGCCTCCCAACCCTGGCGATGGCAGTGGTGAGAGGTGAGGCCAGGTTGAGCTAAAGGATGCAGACCCAGGTCTGGGGGAGAAAGACAATTTTTCTTTAAGTGGATAAATCAGTGAGCGGTCGCTACAGGCATGTCACCCTGTATTTGGGTGGTGTCTGGCTTGAATACACTGAATTCTTCTGTCGGCCCTGGCTTTTCATGTGACTTTTCTTTCCCCATTTCTAGATTTGCCAAAGCCGATGAACGGTGTTGCTCTAGCGACAGGGGTGCTTCCTTGCTGTTGATATTGGGGGATGAGGAACAATTGCAATCTGAGAGTCTCCTGGGACAGGGCGTGGGGGAGGGGAAACCCAAGCAGCTGCGTCTCTTGTGCAGAGCGCCAGCCAGGAGATGCTGTGTGTCAGCGCCCTGAGTCTTCCTAATGAGGATAAATGGCCTCCGCTTCTCAGCGGGAACCAGGGCAGAGGAGGAGATATCCCTCTGTGCCGTCAGGGCAAGGAACATGTCCACAACAGCTCAGGAGGCTGATGAAACAGAAATAGGAGAATTTCACAGGAAAGGCCAGGTGGGCACACAAGGTGCTCCAAGACCCTGCAGAAGCCACCCGAGGCTTAGGCAGTAGGGCGCGAGGTAGCCTTCGGGGGTGTCAATTAAACTGAGTGTCAGCAGGAGGGCTGTGCTCGGCCTCCCATCCCGCGGGGTCAGAGCGGCCTCCTCTCCTCTTCTCTTAGGTTATGACACTGAAACCTGCCGGAGGGCTCCTGGTACCCATTTTCCAAGCCAATCCTGAAGTCGGGCAGGTCCCATCGACATACCCTTAATCCCCCTGTGACTGGGAAGGCCTGGCTTGACCACAGGTTCCCGAAGGTCCTCCCGGATCTGGTTCTCAAGCCTGGACTGCAGCTGGTCCTTGACTCCACCTTGCCCTCGGGGCCCGGGGTCTGCACATTCAGGGAGGGGGCTCTGCTTTCCTGGGTGCCGGTGTCTCTGGGATGACCATCTATCCCCCGACTTGAGGTGGCTGCTGGCCTGTGAGTCTCCACGGCTGTGATCTTCCTCTTAATTAGGATCTTATTATGATTTCTTTTTAATACTTTCTTTTAAAATAGGATTGAACCTAATTTCGCCACTGAGCCACATCCCCATTCCTTTTTATATATTTTATTTACGGTCAGGATCTTGCTAAGTTGCTTAGGGCTTTACTAAATTGCTGAGGCTGGCTTTGAACTTGCAATCCTCCTGCCTCAGCCTCTCAGGCACAGGGATTAAAGGCATGCAGCACTGTAATAGCTTTACTATAACTTTTCGGAAACCCCAGGATCCTCAACCTTTTCCCTGGGCCTTCCTGGGTATGTCCATGTCCCTATGGGCCTGGTCTCCAGACCCTAGTCTACTCTTCTCTCTCCTTGCCTACTTGGGACTGGGGGTCTTAGTCCAATTAAATGACATGGCTGTTCACGCTCCCCAGGAGTTTTTATCTAGTTGAGTAGACAGAACCTATATATGCACTGTATGCAATTCACATTTTAAAGTACACTAAATAGATATGGATTTAAAAAATACAGCGCACGATTAATTGACAAATATATTTTACAGAGAATTGGTGTAAGAACTTGGGGAGGGGTTGGGGTAATCAGAAAGGGCCGGATTTGCCCTTCTGATCTGGGAAAAGAATTATGGATACTTTTTTTGTTGTTGTTATTGGAAGAAAGGAGAGCAGGGAAGGTTCAGATGGGTGAGCTGAGTGCCTCCCAAATTTCTACGGAAATCCTAACCCCTGACCCCCGTTATCTCACACTGGGACTGTGTTTGAAATCAGGGTCTTTAGAGAGGTCACGAGGGTGGATCTTGCTATAATAAGCCTGGTGTTCTGATGAGAAGAGGAGGTTAGGACAGAGACCTGTGCACGCACAGACGGCGTAAGACAGGGAGAGACCTCTGAAGAAACCACCTGCTATTGCCTTGACCTTGAACTTCCAGCCTCCAGAGCAGTAGGACAGGAGATGTCTGGCGGCAGCCACCCAGTCTGCAGTGCTTTGTAATGATGGGTCTGCGACGAACACGGGGGTCTACAGATGCATGGAGCCATGGCAGCAAAAACCAGAACACACTCGGTGGGAGGGGACTCTTTTCTTGGGGCAGAAAAGTTCCCAATGCAAGGACAAGGGGAGTGAAGAAGTCCCAGTCACAGATGGGCTGGTGGGGACAGGAAGAAGAAGCAGAGCCCAGAAGGGAGGAACATCTCTGCCTAGCTGACAGTTTTGCCTGGGGTGTGCCTCCTGTGCCCAATGCTAAAGAAGCCAGGTTTACTTTAAGGATGAATTAAGGCCTCGAAGGCCCCAAGGGAAAATCCAACAGAAAAGAAACATTAAAGGCAAGAGACAAAAGATGAGGAGCCAGAGGACAGAAGGTGACTTTGCAAGACAGAGTCAGAGTAAGCAGAGACCACTGGCAAAGGAAGAGGTGCCCACCCCGGGAGTGTGGTCAGCAACACTAGGAACCGCTCTGACTACCAGCTGTTTTCTAACACCTGGCAGCACACAGTGTTGCACCTTCATTGGAACCAACAGTGTAAGCCCAGAGAGACAGCAATGCAAGGACAGGGTGAATGTTCTTGAGGACTGGGGCCTTGGGAATGTCCTCACCTTTGTGGACAGGTCCCCCGCCCTGGGCAGGGAGGCTGCAGGGACCAGAATTCACTGAGTCAGGGCTGTTATTTAGGGAAGCCCCGTCCTGTCACCCAGAGCAGAACATTCCACGGAGAAGGGTACCTACCCCAACACTGCAGGAGGGGTGCCTACCCCAACATCTCACATGGTTTGTAAAGTCAGTAGCAAGTTCAGGGTGGAGTTATGGAGACAGGGTGGAGTTATGGGACAGGACAGGAGGCTGGGAAAGGCAAGATCAAGAGCAGGGGAGGGGGAAGGGACCCTGCCGCACAGTGTTCATCCAAAGCTCCCCTTTTGTACTCAAAGGAGGCGGCAGTGTCATTAAAAGAGCCTCAATGTTTCCAGGTCCTTCTTCAGCAGTTCTGCACCCACTGCACCCAGGCCCAGTGAAGGCGGCTCCTCAGTACTGCGGGCACCCTGCCGGGCGCCATGAGCACGGAGCTTATTTCCAGTTGGGAATGTGGGAAGGGCATGTGTTCCCCAGCACACGCCTCGCTCAGAACCTGGCTTTGGTGCCTGGGAGGGCCAACTACATTTCCCCATAGCAACACCACGTCTTTCCCATTTAGGGGACCCCCAACTTACATAAAAAAGAAAAAATAGGAAAAGAAGAGGAGGAGAAGAGCTCCTCCTTATGTTTGTCCTTTGGCAGATGCCCTCCGTTTGTACCCCATGACGCTTAGTGAGCTCCAGGCAGGGCTTGCAAATGCCCGGTACAGGGCACTGTGGTCAGGAGGACTCTCCAAGGAGCCAAGTGTGGCCCCCAAAGACTTCTGTGGGCCTCTCCTTTAGCAGTTCCCAAGGGCCTGGGAGGAATTTGAGGTTAGCCTTGGTCAAGGGGCATGTAGTTGTGGCTGTTCTCCGAGTCAGACCCAGGAGGTGAAGGGCTGAGCCAGCCACCCATTCACCTGGGCTCCTGTGGACCTGTCTGCTCTGCGGGGGCCAGTGATGGAGTGCAGAGGGTCTCACCTCTGCTTTTTGCACCTGCTCAGAAAATCACCCTGGGACCTGAACTTGTCACTTTGCCTAGCAACTCATGCAGGTTGGGAGCATTGATTTAGCTAAGTGGAGATGTGTCAATGAATGACATGTTTAAAAAATGTTTATATGCTGAACACCCCAAACTCTTTCCTCTTATTTGTACTGTGCTGGAAGCTGTGATGGGTGGCAAATTGATCCTCATGGGCTAAATCTGGCCCGAACCCCCCTTTTTTTTCAAGCTAAGAATGGGTCTACATTTTTAAAGGATGATCTCCCCTACCCCCAAAAAGTCCAAACAGAGAAATATGTGTGATTGAGAACATAAAGCTCATAATGCCTAAACCATTTACTATCTAGCTGTTTACAGAAAAAGTTTGCCAAGTCTTGGTGAACATTAAATAGACTTTTATTTTTTGGTTCATCTGGGAACAGCCCTCCTCTCCCCATGTGTAACAATGCCTGTTGGAAAATCATTCTTGATTTCCAGGCAGGTGAACTTGGAACCCATCCAGCTCCTAAGTTGGGAACTGTCTGTGCCTCTCTGTGGTTTTCATGCCAAGTTCAGTGCTTGGCACAGGGAGGTAGTTTGCTGCTGACCATCAGTGTCCACAGTGACTGGCAGGCTCACTGGGAGTAGGAGTGTTCCCGTGATTCCCTTTGGGACCTTTGTGTTCCTGAGGACCTTATGGTGACAGTCACTGCTGACTGTGGCTTACATGCCACCAAATTGAGCAAACCAAGAGCCTCCTGTCCTAACTTTTCCTTAACTCCGTGGTGTCCCAGCTAGGGAGAAGGAGCAGAATTACATGTCCTGTCTGGTAGCCACGGAGAGAAATGGGGACAAACCTGCACTTGGCCCCTGGGATGATACTGTGCTGCCAGAGATTGCAGGAGAGCAGGTGCCAACACAGCTGGAATTATGGGTTAGAGTTGGAGGAGCAAAACAGGAAAGTTAGAGGTTGTGGACCTCGGGGACATGGAGGTGTCCTTGAAAAAGGAGGTGGAGGCTGAATATGGGGATATTCAAAGAAACCCCTCCGCTCACTCCCCTATTTCTTCATATGCCAAGTGAAGCCCTTGCTTCTCTTTCTGCCACATGGGAATGTCCCGAGATAAGAGAAATCACCTGGACAAATAAAAAGCAAAGTCATGGATGAAAATAAGAGACTCACATTGGGCTTTTCAGTCTTCATGTCTTCTCTTTCACATTCAAATGCACCTGCTGTATTCAGGCTGTTTAATAGGCCCGTGCCCTCGGCATATTTTTCTCTAAATACAGTATACATCTGCTTTAAGATTTTTTTTATCTAATGAAGTCTGTAGCTTTCCTAGTCTGGCCAAAATTATTTCCAGATTATAACATGTCCACCCTGACATGATATGGAAGGAGATAATGTAGTAACTCCTGAGCCACAGGAAAAGGAAAAGGAATCATTTTGCCTCTTGAAATGAGCAAGCTTCCAGCCTAACGGCAGTTCCTTGCTTCTTAGCTGCAGCAAAACACCACTAAATGCCCTGCCCCTCAGCCCCCTGCCACCCCGCAGCCTTCCCTGCAGGTGGGAGAACCCATAATCCGGCTGCAGTGGCGAAGAAGAAATGACATTGTCCTACCCAGAGCAGATGCAGCGATTCCCAGTCCACCCACATGACATTTGGGTCTGGGGATCAAAAATAAGATTGTGTTGATGGCAACCCCGGCAAGGGTCCTCCGCTGACATCCTAACTTGTTTTCCTGGCTCAGCTGGGTGACAGTCATTTCCACTCACTCATCTTGCAGGGACTTTGAAGGGCCAGAGGCCACTGCTGCCATTGCTTTTGGAAGATGGTGGACTCAGCCCTGCTCCACAGCTTAGTTTGTAGACACGGAGCAGGCGCAACAGTGTTCCAACTGGGCTCGGCGGGAGCTGTGTACAGGTGGTTTCATGGTTAAAAGTCCTAGTAGTGTAAAAGAGATCAGAGGGTCGAGTGAGTGTAGCTCTGATGTCTCCATGTGTGCCACCTCTGCCACCTCTGCCTTCCCTGGCTTATTCTAGGAGATTTGCCTTCCACCTGCTTGACTTCCCCTTAATTGCCACCCCTCCCCCCTTTGTTGATGAGCAGAGCTCTTGTCCTTAAATGCATCAACAAATGTTCACATAGAGAGGCAGCGTCTTTTTTGGCAGGAGGACCTGTGCAGATCTCGCCCCAGAAGGAACTGAGAATGTTTGTCCAGCTGTGACTAAGTAGCTGTCATTAAAGGATGAATAATTACTTGCCCAAGCAAATAGTTCCCCTAAATGTTCTCACCCGCAGGCCATGAACAAGAGACCCACTGAAGCTAGAAGATCTGCGTGATGGTGCACATTGAAGAGAGGAGAGACCAAGATGATTGCGATGTGCCGCTTTCATATGGGAAAGAAAATCCAGAGGCAGGGGGCTGCCATCTAGCAAGTGGCACAGCTGCCAAGGTGCCTCAGATTGCCTGGGTCTCTGGCAACCTGGCAATCACCACTCTGAACCCTTCTCTCACAGCGGCATCCATGAGTTTCCCATGCTCAACACATTCTCTGAAATTCATGGTGGAAAACCTATCATCCCTTCCCTTTTCTCCAACTCAAATAAAATTAAAAAGAAAAAAGTTGGAATATATGTGAGAGTAAGCAATGGATCTGTTAACGTTCATTTTTCTCAAAAAAATACACTTCCGGAGTGTTCCTATGAACCGCGGCTGGTAATCAATAACTTCAACACACCTCCCAGTGGGTGTCCTGGCCACGACTGTGTTTTCCATTCTTGGCCTATGCAGCCTCTTCTGCATTCTTTCATGTGCCCATCTTCTCCCAAGTTGGTATACTTGTCCCTTCTTGCAAGGTCTGAACAACATTCTAGATAATCAACCCTAAAAAAGTGGTGTGGTCTTCTCGAATTGTGGATACCAAATTTCTGAGGATGACCTGCTCTTGGCTGCACTGGAGATTTGGTAGCCTACTTGCCAAGGTTAATTTGCAGTCAATCCCAAGGAACCACATTTTAAAGTGTGGGTATGAGGACCTGTGCAGGTCTCGCCCCAGAAGCAAATGAGAAGAAAAAGGAGGGTGAGTAAAATGCTCTTCTGAAACCCTTGCAAATAGTCTGGGGAAATTTTTGAATAAAGAACTTCAAGGACCCTTTCAACCCGAGCAATATGAATCAAGGCCCATCTTGCCCCTCCCATGCGATATCAACATCGACTCTTGTGATGTCGGGACAATCCCAGAGCAGATGCTTTTTATAACACATTGGAGAAAACATTGTAATCACTGTTACTCTGGGTAAATTCCTCCCACTCCAAATAGAAACAGTAAACATGTGAGTATAAATATGACAATCATTTGTTTAGCTGTAACAATTTTAGATAATTTTTGGCATGCTTAAAAGTACAGATATTTTTGTGGATGAGTAAAACATAACTTGTGTATTGTTTAATCCACGTTGTTACTAACTTTTGGGTGACATTACCAATTTCTTGGCATGTTTATACCAGTTATCATGCTATGGGAAAAGAAAAAAAAAATAAAACATGTAAAGTTTGCCTCCGCAGAGAGAGTGGTGCTGGAGAACAGTGGAGCAGACAATTATTTACGGACAATTTTACATGGATACAATTGCCATGGTTTTTATGTGATGGTCAAAAGATTTCTTAGTGGTTTACTTTGATTGGAAGTGGTGTGCTGACTTTTGGGTGCTCTTCTTTTTCCCATATCTAAAATTTAGATTTATCTGTAAAAGTGTTTAAAAGATCATCTCTAACATGGGATGACATTTTGCTGAAGAAAAGTGATTACCTATGAGGATACCCTTTCTGCAGGGGAAACCAGGGCCAAGTGTGAATTTTTTTCCCCCCTAAATTCAGAATCTGAAAGAAGCTCTCTGGACCACAGAGCTTATCTTTCCTATCAAGGCAGAAATCAGTGAGGCCTGCATATTCCAGTTCTCTCTAATGCCTGCCTTGAGAATAGGAAGGACACATCTGGTAGAAGCATTATGGGACATGCAGAGAGGACAGGAGAGTCTAAAAATCCAGCCAACTTCTAAGCGCCAGAACCCAAGTTCTGAACACAAGGCCAAATATCCGTCCCTGTGGACAATCAGAGGACTCTAGGCAGAATAACACTGAGGAAGCAGTCCTACTCAAAATCCAAACACACCCCACCAAAAAACCCCAACCCACATGCAGGTACACCATCCGTTGCAGTGTGGAAAGAGAGTCGCCTTTGAGAAAGATTTAAGGAAATGAGCACCTTGCGGCAAGGAAGGAAGAGAAAGATACTGGGGCCACAGCCTTGCTGGAAGGTTATGCATCCCCTTCAACCTGCTCTGGAATTCTTAAATCCTACTTTTTAAGTTCTTAATGTGGAATGACAGGCATATTTGAATTTTTACATATGGTTACCATCTCCGTCATTAGCAGTCATCTGAGTTATTAAGGTTTGTCAAAATTGGGTGTTTATATAATTGAAAAATAGCATGTTCCCCAGGTTCTTGCAGAAAGCAGGCATAGATGAAATTGAATAGGCTACTGGATCTTTTGCCAGGATAGATGGGTTTTTGTCAAAAACGTTTGCAAACTCATGCTCTGGGCAGTTCTTTGGCCATCAGTCATTCCATGTTCAAGGCTGAGCATTAGTGTCTTTCAAAGTTCAGGAAGGATATACCTGGACCTTGGGCTCATTCCAATACAACCCAGGTAAACCTCACCTCAGTATGCAGTTGGCAAGCAGATAAAAAGAAATGGAAGTCAAAAGAGAATGAGCTCTGTATTTTCAAATTGGAGTTCTGGAAAAGGTAAGCGATTTGTCAAGAAAGGTCTTTTTAGGCCACATCAAAAATGTTGTGGAGTAATTTGGCAATCTTTACCTTAGGGGGAAATGAGCACCCACCCCAACTTCTTGATCTTTAAAAGTTGCAGAAGGGGCTTTCTTTCATATAATCTGGTAGCTTCTGGAAGGATTTCTGTCCTTAGTAGTTAATTTGCAAAACTGAGCCTCATGTCTCTTGGGAAAAGTATGCTTTTCCTGCTTGGTTCTTTGCACATTCTCCAAGCCCAGTGGCACAGAATGTGTCTCTGTCTCATTCTGAGACATGAATGTCCCTTTAGGGGACAAGGAACAATATCCAAAGTGCAGCCAAGGGTAAATCTCACTGTCCAGTTGCACCCAAGTTGAGAAACTCGTTGTATCAGAAATGATGGCGTTTTAAAACTCGCTCTAAAAGAACGTGTTTGGGTATTGGCCGCCATCTTACAGTCCTTGCTCTCTCGGCCCTGTCTCCATAAATGTCAAATGTGGCTGTGAGTAGGTTTAGCCTGAAAATAAAATCCCCTCACTTTCATCAAGAAATAGCTCCAAACTTAGAGTGTGTGCTCAAAATATTCATGATGAAGTCATAACCCTATATTTATAGTCTTTTGGATTGTGTATGAAATTCTGTTTCCCATGGTGTTTTTCGTTGAAAGGGTCAGTCGTGGAAAGCAGATTCAGAAAGTGACCGAGAGATGTTAGCTTGGGGGAAACGCCGTCTGGCTCACTTTGAACCAGGTGGTGGTGAGACATCCTGCCTCTTCCAGGAGACCCACCTGCTGCCTGATGAGTTGGGTCTCCTCCCCCACCCCGTTCCCAGATGGGCCTGTGCTGGATGGTGCCCTCTCGTCCTGCAGGAAGGGTGGGAAGTGGGGAGGGAGCCTAGGGTCACCCCTTTTCTCTGACCTTTCCTGTCCTCTAGACTTCCTCTCCATTCTCACTGAGGGAGATGGTGTGGATCTTAATGGTTGGAACTTGGTGGTTGTCTCCAAGGCTGGGGTCTGAGGGCCCCACACAGCAGCAGACCTGCAAAAAGCTTTTACTTCTCACCCGAGCCGTGGTGCAGGCTGATTGGTCCTTGGGCATTGTAATCCTGGCAGATCCGTGGGGCATGGAAGAGAAAAACTTCCATTCACAGACCCCGTCCGTCTTGGAGATCTTATAGAAGGTCTCCCCGGACCCCACGGGGATGCGGACCATGTCCTTCGGCTGCCCCTCCAGGGCCTGGCTGGGGGCGTGCAGGGTGTAGCCCAGGGCGTGCTTGGAAGACTGCTTCCTGCGGAGACACTGGATTCTCAAGACATTCTGGAAGGCTTTCTTGAACTCCTGACTGGAGCATGGATAGATGATCGGGTTGATGCAGCTGTTTAGGTATCCAAGCCAAAATACTATTTTAAAAACTGTTTCGGAGGGCTTGAAATCAGGAAAGAAAGACCCTGGAAGAAAACACACACAGCGTCATACATGCATGATTTGCAATTCAACAGGCCAAGTGACTAGGCAAACAAACCAATATGCATCCTTTTTATATTTTTTAAATGTTTAGAAGATTCCTGATGCATCCGAGTTTCTCACATTTGCCAGAAACCTATTGGTCATATCCTCAAAGACCATTCTTACGTGGCCCATGTGTGGCCACCAATATGACAGCAGGCCCAAAGGACAAGGTGACATCAGCTCTGTCAGTGATGGAATATCACTGGGTGGTTCCTGCGAAGACTTAAATAATGAAATATTAAATATTGGTGGTTGTCTCCAAGGCTGGGATCTGAGGGCTAAGACTAGATATACAAATATTTTTGTCTGAATTTTTGAAACAAGTTGGAATCCACTTGAATAATCCATTTTAAAATCTGGTTCTTTGGGAGTGCCTAAAAATAACTATCACAAAGAACCCCAGAGTCACAAATTTTTCCGGAGTCAATTCGAGCCTGATCTCATTGACCAACAAATCCTCCTAAGCTCCTACATAGATAAACCTGGTCTGTTTTTCTCTTGTGTGATGATTTAACCATGATATTTCTCCCTCAGATTGGTCTAAACAATGGGATGTGGCACACAAAAGCCCTAACTAGCTTTACCAAGAGAGCCCTGAATGACACAGTTAAAGGGATCTCTCTACTAAACATAGAGGTGATGATAATGAGCAAGTTATTTTACAGAAATCAGTTGATGTTAGATATTTTAACTACAGTTCAAGGGGATATATACGTGCCATTATAAAAATTAAATATTGTGGATGTTTCCAATGACTCTGGTAACATTCCTAAAGCACAAAGTGGCCTCCACTCACAGATTGAAGGTATGTTGGGTCCCGCCTGAAGCTTCAGTGAGTTACTATCTTCTTGGTTTTCAGAGACTGGCTGAAATACTAATTGCTTTTGTGCTAATTGTTTGCAAAAACCCAAAAAACCAAAAAACAAAGTAATGCTCTGCTGTCTCGTTTATTGCTGTCCTAGCACGATCCCTGCCCTAGGTATGCCTTGTCTGTCTCCCACCAACAGCCACCATGGACTATGCACTGCCCTGATGCTGGACACCTGTAAGTCCATGCCCCACCTGATAGAACAAGGACTGTAAGTCACCTTCCCCCTCCCTCAGCAGGAAGCAGCTTGGAGATATCATTGCCCATTTTTCATAGAAATGTAAGGTAGGAATTGACTGTGGGGAAATGGAACAGTGGTCCACTTCATGCTTTGAATACAGCCCTTGCTGCTGTGTTGCTGGGACTTATTTTTAAAATGGCCATGTTTCTTTCTCTTTCTTTTCCTCTCCCACGCTGACCCACCCTTAGTTAATCTGGGGGGTGTTTGTGCATGGGCGGGGGAAATAACAGATAACCTCCTTCCCCATCCTAGGCTGAGATATCTGTTCTGAGCACACACCCACCTTAGGAATCAATAATTCAGATTTCGGGGATGGCACCATAAGGTAAGACATCTCTCAAATTAATAAGTGAATTAATCAGCTCTTTAAAAGCCTTCTGTTCCCCCTGATGGGCGGAATCAGAGCCCCTGCAATAGCAGTCCCCTGAGCTTCTCTTTTGCTAGCAAAGCAATAAAAAATCTTTTGCTTTTTTCTCAAAAGCAAAGCAAAACACAACACAACAACAATAACAGATTGGTTCCTTGGAGCCACCTTTTACTCTGATGCAGATGGGACATGGTTCAGAATTCCCTCCCTCCTCTATGCTGGAGTTCTGTACGTTGATGAAAACCCCCACTGTACGAAATATTGGCTTGGGAACTTACGGCCAGCGACCTTCAACCGTTCTTCCTGTTGATGCCTTTGATGCTACAGTCTGCTTGCCTTCTCAGTGTTCCCTGTGACTCCTAATGTTTGTCAATTGCTTGACCATCAGGTCCCCCCAGTCCCTGGCTTAACCAGCTTTAGAGCATTATTGCTTCTTATTGTTATTAATCTAGCCCGACTCACTACCACTTTTTCTCATTTTTTTTGTCCTCTCTGGTTGAGTCATTGTGTCTTAAATGCCCCTTTCAATGCCCTTTTCTTTCTTCTCTACCTACTCACACCTTATCCATTAATGTGCACTGTGGGAATCAGGCCTCTGGTCCTTTACACAGTAACCACCACAGAGCCCTTCGCAGCATGGTGACAAGACCATGGGGCCCCAAAGTGGAAACAGTCTCACGGATTCTTTTATCAGGTCAGTTTGATCACACTCAGGCCTGCAGCCCTTCCAGCTCAGTGTGCCGTATGGGCCACTCCCAGACCCCCAGGAGTGCCCAGCAAAGGAACCGCATGGCTCATGAGACCCCAAACAGCCCTCTCTGTTCCTCTTGGACGGGCTGTGGAAGGCCACCAGGACCCTCCCTGCACCTCCTCCTTTTCCTTCTTCACTCCCAACTCCTGTTCCTTCTTCCCCTGACCTTTAGTTACAGTTCTATGCACACCCGGGTGAGCGGGTTTGGGACAGTCTTAACATACCTGTGGGCCTCACGTTTTCTTCCTGAATAAAGGCTGAATGATAATTTCTAATGGACACACACAACCTTTTTCTTACCGTCCTGATTCTATGTCTTTCTTTCCCTCTCTGTGATGTGGGCACACTTGCAAGCTCCTCTGGCAAACAGAGCGCTGGAGTCTAGTGGAACAGCAACTTACATACTGCGGAGCCCACAAAGAGCCAGCATGGTGCTGGGGTTGATATGAGCACGTGCCACTGAAGCATGGTCCCTGCCGAGTTTTGTATGTCTCAAGGAAACACACACACACACACACACACACACACACACATACATGCACACACACAGGCACACACGTGCACAGATGGTGGGTGCTGACTTAAAAAAAAACACATGAGGAAGTTTTGTTCTGTAGCTGCAAATCTTCTAACATTGTCCCATCGTCATAACAAAGTCCTGTGTGGCCGGGAGTGTGTCTCCAGCCAAGTGGTGGATTCAACCCATGACATACAACTCAGTCATCCTCAGTGACACAGGAAGAATGGGACACCTATTAGTATTCCCACTTTACAAGGGAAGAAGCTGTTGCTTAAAGAATTCAAAGACCTCAGGTCATTCAGAGCGTGAGGTGGGGCTGGGATTTGAAATGAGACCGTCTGATTTGAGGCACTGTTTCTTCATGGAATCTTAAAAGTCATCGGAACCATGGATTTCTGGGGAAAGAGGGTGAGATGAAGAGATGAAGAGATGAAGACTACCACTGGGGGAAGCTGAATCAGAAAGATGCTCCTTCCAACTTCACCTGAGGGGTGGAGAAAGCGTCAGTGTTAACGGCTCTGCGTGACTGCGGTCAGCTGTAGGAGGCCCTCATCCTGTGTTATGATGCCTATATATCTCCCGCCATTCCTCCAAATAGGGACAGCGATGTGATTGAGGGAACCGGCTTCACCTTTTCCTGTGCTTCATGATGGCAGGTGTAGCAAAAACCACCTCGTCTGGAAATTTCGTCACTCTGTATACCAGTAGACAGCTAGACTTTCTTTATTTGAGGAATTTCAGTTAACAGGAAAAAATAAATTATATATATATATATATACACGAGCTATGAATATGAATGTCACTGAAGTGATTTGAGAGCTCTGGAATCTCCCACGACCCTCCCAGGACCTCTGCTTACAGAGTCCGGTTTTGCAAAGACGAGTCTCACCCTCTCCTCCTGGACGCCTCCTCCCACCCCCTTTCCTCCCTCTCTGCCTGTGTCCCCAACTGCAGGTCTGGCTGACCCAGAGGTAAGTACAGGGTCTCCCTTCTCTGCACCTGTGGAGGGCAGGCTGTGCCCTCCTGTGAGCTACTCCAGGATGCCCAGAACAGTGGTTTGGGGGCTGTGCCGAAACCTGTGTCACTCCATCTAGTAAAGCAGCAGCTTGCCATGAGCGACTCCATTTTGAGTTTCAGTGCTGAGATGGAATGACTCCGCACCTTGTTTGTACAAGGAAACAACTACCACCTGCCTAGCACAACCATGAGGCACAAATTGATAAGTAAACTAATCGTGCTGATTAAAATGACCACCTGTGACTCATCAAATTAATCAGAAGCACCTAGATGTATGGATGGATCAAACTCATTGGGAAAACCAGGCCCCGGTGCTTATGGAACACACCAGACCATGGAATGAAGCAACCCCCTCACTCGAGGCCCATGAGAGGAGGAGCACCCAGAGACTGGACACAGCAGCGCCCTGACTCTGTCACCTGGTCACCTGTCACAGGCCTTGCCTAGGAAAATTTCTACAGAGAGGAACCTCTGAATCTCTGTCCTCGGGCTTCAGCAGAGTGTGGTTTCTCCTGCCCGTGACAATCTCACGTGGCCCACTCCAAACTGACACTCTGAAACTGCCATCCTCTTGTCCTTGGCCTAGAATACATGCCAGCACTTTGTCTGATTTTTCTGATTTTCTGGCACTTTGCTGGCTCTGTGTCCTGAACAAGTTCTTTGGCTGGTTCATGATCTTATCGATCCACCTACAGTGGTTCTCTGCATTCTTATCTGCTCTCTGCCTCTGCTTGGGAACCTGTGGCTGTCTTAAACCTTCCTTGGCCTTTCTGTAACCTACATGTGTATCATTGTGTAAAGTGTTGTGTGGCTTGGGTGTTAGAAATCAAGACTGGAATAAAAGAACCTGTGATTGCCCTGCTCTGACCACCAGGTGACCCACAAGGATTCAGTGAATTGCCTCTGATGAAGGTG